TAAGAAGACACAAAAGAGTAAGTAGAGCTTGGATCGAATAGGACCGATGCATCTTTATGGCAAACCAATATAATACCTGTTATGACGGGATCAGAGGTAACAGCCTCACTACGGGTAGGAAGGGCATAGTATCTGGCCTGGCCTCCCCCTCTTGGGCAGCCTCTACCTCCTCGACCTCTACCTCTAGTTGGCTGAGTAGGTGGGGTAGCAACTGGAGCTGTAATTATAGCCTGTGAACTCTGCGGGGCACGCTATGGCTGAGAAGTCTGTGGAGGTGCACTCCTCCCAAGTCTAGGGCAATCCCTCACCACGTGGCGTGTGTCACCATACTCAAAACAAGCTCTGGGAGGACGTGGTGGCTGCTACTAGCTAGGGCTAGGTCTGCTGGACTGACCTCTGAAAGCACCCCGCGTAGGAGGCGCGCTAGAAACCGGATGTGCATAATAAGGCTTCTGAGGCCTAGGAGGAGCTGGAGCACTACTGGCTTCTAGAAGAGCTGAATGAACAGGGTGACTCATATAACCCCAACCATGACGACCTATAGCTGGGGTACAGGCACCAGAATAATGGCCCGGCTCTCGAGACCTCTTGTCCTCCCTCTCCTCTCTCTCCCTAGCATACATACCCTCAATCCTCCTAGCAATGCTCACCACCTGCTGATAAGAAATATCCATTTCCAACTCATGAGACATGCTAGATCTGATGCTGGGAATAATCCCCTAAATAAACCGATGAACCCTCTCGCGAACAGTAGAAACCAAAGTTGGTGCATGCCTAGCCAAACTGGTGTAACGGACAGCATATTCTGAAATAGCCATAGCACCCTGGTGCAAATGCTCAAACTCTATGCGCCATGCATCCCTGAGGCTCTAAGGAACATAATCCCTAAGGAACAGATCTGAAAAATGAGCCCAAGTTAGTGAAGCAGCCTCATCTGGACTATCTAACTCATAGGTGCGCCACCACTTATAGGTGACTCCTCGAAGCTAGAAGGTAGTGAAAGAAACAACGCTCGATCCTGAGATACCCGTGGTACGGAGAATGCAGTAACACTCATCAAAAAATCCTAGAGCATCCTCCGATGCTAGACCACTGAATACATGAGGCTTGTACTTCTTGAACTTCTCAAGCCTCAGCGGATGCCCTATCCTCGGGCTGAACTGGCACTGCAGGTGGTACAGGGATAACCTCAGGGACCTGCTCAACATAAACTCACTGCTCAGGAGTGCGGGCGGCGGGAGTCTTTGCTCCTCCCCCGGCCTGGGACATAGCTGCAGCAAGGGGAAGCAACCCTGCCTGAGCCAAAGTGGTGTACATGCTCATGAATTGTGCCAAAGTTTTCTAAAGAGCTGGAGTAGTAGTAGCAGTAGGCGTGTCACGTGTCTGGACTCCGGCTGGAACTGTTGGTGGTACCTCGGCGGCAGATAGCGCAGGTGCTCTGGCTGTACCACGTGTGCGTCCTCGGCCTCTACCCCGGCCCCAGCCTCTGACTACTATAGTAGGGGGCGCGGGTGCCGGATTGTCTAGGGTAGCACGTGTCCTCACCATCTGTGAGAGAATAGAAGACATAAGTTTAGAATTGTGATGTCAAAATATCGCACGACAAGGAAATCAAATGAAGTGGAATTTTCCTAACTATTACATAGCCTCTCGTAGCTAAGTACAGACGTCTCTGTACCGATCAACGAGACTCTAATAAATTGGCTTGTGATCCATGACTCCTATGAACATAGAGCTCTGATACCAACTTTTCACGACCCCGGTTCACCCTCCGTGAACCATCGTAATGGCACCTAGTCTCTACGACTAGGTAAGCCTAATTTGCAGAAGAAAAACCAAAATTTGCGGAAGTAAATAATTTAAAACAGAAATAAAGTAGTAACAATGTTTAAATGTGCCGTTCAGCTTACACCATGTTTTACTCTCAATACCAAAACATAAATCCAAGACCCGAAAACCCATGTATCACAAGCTAAGATCAATACTACATAGCTCTAACTCCGGAATGTCGAATAAGAACAGAAAAAATACAGAAGGACTGAATACTAAAAGCAGGAATAGAAATGGACTTCTCGGTCTGCGGACGCGGAAAATGTACCTCGAAGAGGCATGAGTGGCGGTACCTAGATCTACACATGAAAAACATGCGCAGAAAAGGCATGAGTACACCACAACAGTACTCAGTAAGAGCCAAGCCTAACCTCGGTTGGGTAGTGATGAGGAAGTTCAGGGCCCTATTGAGATTAAATAATTAACCTCAGCCTAACCTGGGTTGGGTACTCATGCCCTTTCTGTGCATGTTTTTCATGTGCAAATCCAGGTACTTCGACTCAGTCCTACTACCCTTGAGGCGAGGCGATTCTCTAAAGACTTCGAGGTATATCTGTTGTGTCCGCAGACCGAGGAGTCCCTTTCCATTCCCTCTCATAGTATTAGCCCTTCTGTATTTACTTTTGTTTAGACATTCTGGAGTTAGACACTTGTAGTTATTCAACAACTTGTGATTTCATTAGATTCCGAGTTTTGGGAAGTTGTTTAGTTTTTGAAATCTTGTATCAGTATATGCTGAGCAACATCTTAAACGTTTCTATATTTGCTTATCTCCAGTTTTTATTAGTTTTTCCGCATTTCTATTTCTTTTTTCGCAATTGTTAGGCTTACCCTGTCATAGAGACTAGGTATCGTCACGACAGTTCACGGAGGGCGAACTTGGGTCGTGGCAAGAAAATATATCAGTACCATCATGGAAATAATAACACAACATAAGAAACAATGAATAGATGAAACAGAAGAGTAGTGTAAACACAACCCTAACCAATAGTAGTCTAAGACTAAATTCTATCAGCCTAACCTCAAACTGGAAGACTAAATATGCTCAACTACCTCCTAACCCACACCCTTAATGCTCGACCTCCAAAGCTTCCTATCAAGTGCCATGTCCTCGGAGATCTTAAGTCTCGCCATATCCCGCCTGATCAACTCTACCTAATACTTCTTAGGCTGCCCTCTACCTCTCCTCATATCCACCAACGCCAACCACTCGCACCGCCTTACCGGGGCATCCAAGCTCCTCCTCTGAATATCCTCATTTCTGCTACTTTCATCTTCTAGGTATGTGAGTTCTTAACTGGTCAACACTCAGCCCCATACAATATGGACGACCTAACCACCACTATATAAAACTTACCTTTAAGTAGCGGAGGCACTTTCTAATCACACAAGACTCCAGATGCTAACCTCAATTTTGTCCACCCCACCCCTATACGGTGTGTGACATCCTCGTCGATATCCCCAACCCCATGGATAACTTACTCGAGGTACTTGAAACTGCCTCTCTTGGAAATAACCTGCGATCCAAGCCTTATGTCCATGCCCTCTTCCCTAGGCTTGGCACTAAACTTACACTCAAGATATTCCATCTTCGTCCTGCTCAACTTAAAACCCTTTGACTCAAGGTCCTATCTCCAAACCTCCAGCCTCTCGTTAATGCCACTCTGCATCTCGTCAATTATAACAATGTCATCAGCGAATAACATACACCATGGCACCTCTCCTTGAACATAGTGTGTCAGTGCATCTATCACCAGAGCAAACAGGAATGGGCTGAGCGCAGATCCTTGGTGTAACCCCATAACAACCAAAAAATGCTCGGAGTCGCCTCCTACTATCCTAGCCCGAGTTTTAGCTCCATCATACATGTCCTTAATTGCCCTAATGTAAGCAATTAACACACCTTTAGCCTCTAGGCATCTCCAAAGAACCTCTCTAGGAACCTTGTCATATGCTTTCTCCAAATCAATAAATACCATGTGCAGATCCTTCTTCCTATCCATGTACTGTTCCACCAACCTATTAATAAGGTGGATAGCTACCGTAGTAGAATGGCCCGACATGAAACCGAACTAGTTGTCTGATACAGACACCGTCCTCCTCACCCTTGCTTCTACTACCCTCTCCCACACTTTCATGGTATGACTCAATAGTTTGATACCCCTATAATTATTGCAACTCTGGATGTCACCTTTTTTCTTGTACAACGGAACCCCTGTACTCCACCTCTACTCGTCTGGCATCCTCTTCATCCTTAAAACAACATTAAATAACCATGTTAGCCACTCCAGACCTACTCTACCCACACACCTCCAAAATTATACCGGAATATTGTTAGGCTCGGTAGCTCTACCCCTGCTCATATTTTACATAGCTCTCACGACCTCCCCGACCTTGATGCGCCTACAGTACCCAAAATTGCGATGGCTCTCAGAACACCCCAACTCACCAAGCACAATATCCTGCTCCCCTTCATCATTCAGAAGTTTATGAAAGTAAGTTTGCCATCTTTGCTTAATCTGGACCTCTCCCATCAATACTCTACCGTCCTCGTCTTTGATGCACCTTACTTGATCCAGATCCCGCGCCTTCCTCTCCCTCTCCTTAACCAGCTGGAATAATTTCTTCTCCCTGCCTTTGGCCCCTAGATCCTCGTACAGATGACTAAAAGCCATAGACTTAGCCTCGTGACTGCCATTTTCGTCTCCTTCCTAGCTACTTTATACCTCTCCCTATTCACACTCCTCTCAACCTCGCATGTGCTCCCTACTAACTTCAGGTATGCCGCCTTCTTCTCTTCCACTTTACCTTAGAACATTTCATTCCACCACCAGTCGCCTTTGTGCTCGCAAGCGAAACCCTTCGAGACCCCTAACACCTTTCTCGCTGCCTCCAATATATAATCCGCCATGGTTGACCATATAACGCTCGTGTCCCCACTACTCTTCCAGGCTCCCACGGCCGATAGCCTCCCGTCCAACTCCTGAGTGTTATCCTTAGTCAAGGCTCCCCACGTGATCCTCGGTCAACCGCGTGCAGTCCTCTTCTACCTTTTCATCATAATGCCGACGTCCATCACCAAGAGTCTATGCTGCATCGCGATGGTCTCACCCAGGATAACATTGCAATCCTTACACAACCCTATGTCACACCTCCTAAGGAGTAGATAGTCAATCTGAGTCTTTGCCATCATGCTCGGAGAAGTAACCAAATGCTCCTCCCTCTTTGGGAAACTAGAGTTAGCAATCACAAGCTCAAATGCCCTTGCAAAATCCAACAGCGATATTCCTCATGCGTTCCTATCCCCAAAACCAAAGCCACCATGCACCTTTCCATAGTCGCTTGCAGTCGACCCAATATGTCCATTAAAATCCCCTTCTATAAATAACCTCTCAGCAGGCGGAATACTACACACGATCTCATCCAACCTCTCCCAGAAGCCCCTCTTGAGCTCCTCATCCAAGCCTGCTTGTGGCGCATACGCACTAACAACATTTAGGGTGGACTCTCCAACTAACAACATAATAGACATTAACCTATTATTCACCTACCTAACCTCTATCACAGACTCTCTAAGTTCCCTATCCACAAAAATGCCTACACCATTCTTACCATTTAGGACTCCAGAGTACCACAACTTATACTCGTCTACATTTCTCGCCCTCGATCCTACCCATCGAGTCTCTTGAAAACTTGCTATATTTACCTTCCCCTTCTCTAGAATCCTCGCCAACTCTATAAACTTACTCGCCAATGTACCTATGTTCCATGACCCAATTCTCAACCTACAGGCACCCTTGTGCCCTTTACCTCCCTTGTCTCCCATCCCACCCCCTGACCCTGCCCTACCTCCCGTTCCGCCCCTAGCCTTCCCAAGGATATGACCTTGCTCTACCATCCCATACTACAACCACTATACCTATAACAAACTAAGGAGAATCACTCATACACACTAGGCAAACAGACCAGACTAGGAGAAAACAAGTTGAAGTTAATAGAAAGCTAACACTAAGGCGAACTAAAAGGCAGCAATTTAACTGACGCGAGGGGAAGGAGAATAGGAAAACGGTAGGTAAAGAACTTGGAAGTTGTCTCTGGTGTACACGACACTGATGCGGCACCTAGCAGCCCTCCTATGATGCGCGCCCGCTCCTCGTTCGTCTCCAATAGCCACCACATATTACCTGAAATACAAGAACCAAAAAAAGTGTTGCCTCCTCTACCACCGGTGGAGCCCCAACAAAAGCAAAGAAAAGTAAAAAAAGAGGGAATAAGGGTGGAAAACTAGTGGGGATATTTGGTCTAGGAACCCGTGTGAAGAAAGGAATTGAGAACTTTGTTTGCCGAAATATAGCAATCGCAGTAGTAGTCGAAAAATCTTAATTCGATAATCATAACTTTAAAATATTTTTTGTCAAAAAGGTAATTTAAATAGTACTTTAATTAAAGAACAAAAAGGATACTAAACTATTTAGAGAATAAGATTAAACAGAGAGACTAACTATTTCAATAAGGCTCCGATTATCGGAGTATATTCTCAAAACTTGGAGTGAATTCAGAAATTACGAAAAGGAAATAGTTTTGAATGTAAGCAAAAAAGTCTTATTCGTAGATGTTAGTATGCAATTTTAAAGAAGGTTTCGAAGCCAAAGATCTACAGACCATAGATTTTGCAAAGTCTCCAAGAAATTCCCTAGGAATAGATTTCGCCGGAGAAAAGGGAGATGGAGAGAAGCAAGTTCGTCGCCGACGAAGAGTGTTGTTTTAGTTTTCAAAATCTCAGATATTCTTGTTGATTGTTCACGTTAAAATATCACAATCTCAATCAGTGTGTATCTTTTCTTACCAATTTTTGAAATTTCAGAACAAGAACAAATATTCTGATACAAACGCAAAAATCAAATGTAAAAAAATGATATTCAGAAAATAAAGCTTATAAAATGAAATATTGATCAAGAATACTTGCGAAAAAATTACCGTGGTGATGAGATTAAAGGACGAGAATTGATTTCTATCAGACAAATATTAAATACCAATCTTTCAAAAGAACTCTCAATGAGGTTCTTGAAAAAAAAATGATGGAGCAACTTTTGAATTGGGAACGGTTTGGAATTCAAATTCGCAGGAAAAGGGGATATCGCCTCTAAAGAGTTCGCTGGAGATTAATCTAAAATTATATATATACCACAACAAGCAACAAAGATATCTGGAGAAGTGCAATGTGGATTTGAATTCAATGATTCACTTAGACTACTCGGAATGATGCCAAATTTTGCATGCAAGTCTTAAATAACATTACAGAACTATTCATGGTCTCGGAATCCCATTCGGACTTGCATATAACAAAAATCTACTGTAAACCAAATTCAAAGTCAAAAACCTTCAAAGAACTAACTTTCACTATTAGGCTCCAAAACGCTTCCGGGTAATCCAAAACCTGATTTGAACATATGCCCAAGTCGAAATCATCAAATGAACCTATTAGAGCCATCAAATCCTGATTCTGAGGTCATTTACTCAAAATGTTGACCGAAGTCAAACTTAGTCTTTTAGGGCCAACTAAAAGAACCAAGTGTTCCGATTTCAACCCGAACAATTTCAAAACCCGAACTAAGCATCCCTGCAAGTCATAAAATAGTAAAAGCATGTACGGGAGGTCTTATTTAGGGGAACGGAGTTCTATAAAGCAAAACGACTGGTCGGGTCACTATATTCTCCACCTCTTAAAAAAATATTTATCCTCAAACAGGTTTAGAATCATGCCTGGAGTATTGAATAAGTGTGGATATCTGCTCCGCATGTCCTCCTCGGACTCCTAAGTCCCCTCCTTAACTGGTTAGCCCCTCCACTGAACCTTTACCATGGAAATCCTCTTGGATCTCAACTGGCGAACCAGCCTAGCAACAATGGAAACTGGCTCCTCCTCATAACACAGGCTCTATTCTAACTAAATCGTGTTGAAGTCCAACACATATGACAAGTCAGCATGATACCTCTGGAGCATAAACACGTGGGAAATCGGATGAACTTTTGATAGGCTGGGGGTAAGGCAAGCTCATAAGAAACCTTCCCTAACTCGTCTCAACACCTCAAATGGGCCTATAAACCTTGGGCTCAACTTGCCCTTCTTTCCGAATCTCTTGATCTCCTTCATCGGCGAGACTTTCAAGAGAACCTTCTCACCCATCATAAATAATAAATCACGCGCCTTCCGATACATGTAACTCTTCTGTCTGGACTGTGCTGTGCGAAGTCGCTCCTGAATTAACTTTACCTTGTCCAAGGCATCCTTTACTAAATCAGTACCATATAACTTAGCCTCGCCGGGCTCAAACCAAACTATGGGGAAACGACGTCGACCATATAAAGCCTCAAATAGATCCATCTCGATGTTGGACCGATAACTGTTATTGTAAGCAAACTCGGCTAAAGGCAAGAATCGATCCCACTACCCTTCAAAGTCAATCACACATGCTCTGATCATGTCATCCAGGATTTGAACTATCTGCTCCGACTGCCTGTTGGTCTGTGGATGAAATATGGTGCTGAGCTCTACATGGGTCCCCAACTCACTTTGTATAGCTCTCAAAAAATGCAAAGTAAAATGAGGGCCTCTATCTGATATGATGGAAACAGGCGCACCATGCAACCGAACTATCTCCTAAATATAAACTTGGTCCATCCTCTCTGAAGTATACGTAGTCACAACTAGAATGAAGTGTTCCAACTTGGTCAACCTGTCGATAATGACCCAAACTGCATCAAACATCCCCAAGGTCCGCGATAACCCAACTACGAAGTCCATAGTAATATGCTCTTATTTACACCCCGATATAGTCATCTGCTGGAGTAGACCGCCTGGCCTCTGGTGCTCTTATATAACTTGCTGACAATTTAGGCACCTGGCTACATACTCAACTATGTCTTTCTTCATCTGCCACCACCAGTAATGCTATCTCAGGTCGCAATACATCTTCGTAGCACCTGGATGAATGGAATACTGAAAACTGTGTGCCTCCTCGAGAATCCTCCCTCTCAAGTTATCGACATTAGGAACACATATATGACACTAGAGTCGCAGAACACCATCATCGCCGATGGAAACCTCCTTGGCACCACCCTATAGCACCGTCTTTTTGAGAACTATCAAATGCGGATCATCAAACTGTCGAGCCTTGATCTGCTCTAATAGTGAAGACTGAGCAACGACGAATGCAAGAACTCGGTTGGGCTCTAAAATATCCAACCTCACAAGTCTTTTAGCCAAGGGCTGAATGTCCAAAGCTAGTGGCCTCTCCTCAACTGAAATAATTTCCAAGCTACCCATACTCTCTTCCTTTATTCTTAAGGCATTCGCGACCATATTTGCCTTGCATGGATGATAAAGAATGGTGATGTCATAATCTTTCAGTAACTCAAGACATCTGTGCTGCCTCAAATTGAGTTCCCTTTGTTTGAACAGATGTTGCAAGCTTCAATGATCATTGTAAACCTCACAAGACACCCCATAAAGATAATACCTCCAGATATTAAGAGCATGAATAATAGTGGCTAACTCTAGATCGTGCATATGGTAATTCTTCTCATGAATCTTCACCTAACGTAAAGAACATACAATAACTCGCCCTCCTGGATCAGTACACAACCCAAGCCAACGTGTGAAGCTTCGCAATACACCGTATACATCCCCAAATCAGAAGGCAACACTAGAACTGGTGTAGTAGTCAAAGCTGTCTTGAGCTTCTAAAAGCTCTCCTCACAATCATCGTACCAACGGGACGGAGCACCCTTCTAGGTCAATCTAGTCAAAGGTGCTGTAATGGATGAGAAGCCCTCCATAAACCAACGATAATAACCTCCTAACCCCAAGAAACTCCTGATCTCAGTCGCCGAAGTGGGATGAGGCCAACTCTGAACTGCCTTCATGATCTTGGAATACACCTTAATACCCTCATTTGATAAACATGCCCCGAGAATGCCACCGAATCTAGCCAAAACTCACACTTGGTGAACTTAGCATATAGTTGCTATTCCCGCAAGGTCTGAAGTACCCCTCTCAAATGCTGCTCATGCTATACAAGTAGATAAAAATGTCATCAATGAAGACTATGACAAACGAATTAATATAAGGCCTGAACACCCTATTCATCAAATCCATAAACGCCGCTGGGGCATTAGACAAGCCAAAGGACATCACTAGAAACTCATAACGTCCATATCTAGTATGAAAAGCTGTCTTCGGAACATCCGAGTCCCAAATCCTCAACCGATGGTACCCTGATCTCAAGTCGATCTTAGAGAACACCCTAGCACCATGCAACTAGTCAAAGAAATCATCAATACATGGCAATGGGTACTTGTCCTAAATAGTAACTTTGTTCAAGTGCCGATAATGAATGCACATGTGCATGGTCCTATCTTTTTTCTTCACAAATAACACTGGCGCACCCCAAGTTGATACACTTGGTCTGATGAACCCCTTTGCTAGCAACTCCTCAAGCTACTCCTTTAACTCCTTCAACTCTTTCGGAGCCATACGGTACGATGTGATTGATATAGGCTGGGTACCTGGAGCCAAATCGATACTGAAGTCGATATTACGATCTGGCGGCATTTTTGGATGGTCAGAAGGAAACACATAGGTGAACTTCTAGACTACTGACAGCCTTCACTAGTTCACTTCTGTGGCTCGTGGCTCGCACCTATGAGCTCGAACCTGCGGCTCACCAAGCACAAGCGCGATTACGAAATCATCTTGAAGCTTAAGCTATTGCTCCCAAGTTCTAACTTGGTCCAAGCCTCCTCCGATTAGCACCTCAGGCCCCCGAGGCCCTGCCCAAACATACCAACAAGTTTAGAATCATAAAATAGAGTCGCTCGAACTCTCGAAATGCACCA